TACGAAACAAATTGTTATTAAAATAAAAACATGACTTATTTTTTTTTAATTTATTATTAATCATTGTCTGTAAATAATTTTTTTAAAAGATTTTTAAATGTGATTCTTCCAAAATTTTATTGGGAACCTTGGTATCATTGATTCATTCCTTTAGCACTTATTAGTCATTCTCTTTTGAAAGTATCTTATCATCAAAGGAAGTAGTACACTGCCCCATATTACAGACCCAAAAAAGTAAAAAGAAAGAAACAAAAATTAGTGTCCTCTTGGTTCAGTAAGTGCCATAATGACGACCGTTAGGAAGTCAGGTACAAAATGTAGAAAACGTAAAAAGTAAAAAGTAATGTGGTAATTATGAACAACAAATAATTAATTTAATTCCCTTAGGACCCTCTCGTTTGTAAAATTCGATAGAGAGACTAATTTTGCAAATATGGGTTCGGCCCCATCATCTTTGCACACTGCTCTTTTCCTGTATGGTTTCTGTGGTTTTGCCAGAATCTTGCTTTTCCTGGTCCATGATGTGAGACCATAATAGAAATTATTCACATGAAAGATATTTAAGTTTGTTCCATGTGTTAAGCAAAAAATATATATTCCCTCCTAGTTAAAATATAAATATTTTCTTTCAACTAATTTTAATTTAAAATATAAGCAATTATATAGTTTTAAAGATTTTTCCCCCATTTTTCCTATTATATTTATTAATCTAGATTTTTATGTAAATTTATTATCCTCTTCTCACCTATCATTAATAATTAGGACTTAAAATAAAAAGAAAAAACAATATATATTTTCATGAAAACAAGGATTTTGTTGATATGTAAATTCTTGTTGAAAACTGTTCAAATTTTGTTTTGGAGGGAGTAACTAGTTAATTTTGTGGTGTGAGAATTATGAAAGATACATAAAACGTTGGAAGAAATATGTTTTTTTTTTTTGTTCAAACAATAAAAATTTATTGCAAATAAGAGTCAAAGAAAAATCTTTTTATACAGTTAGCAAAGTACCCCGTGGCTCTTGATATAAAATAAAAGGCATTCCTCATCTAAAGATATTTTATTTTATTTTATTTACGTTTCTATTCTATATTACTTTGCATACAAAGAGACCGTGAAGCCTTAGAAATATAGAGAAGAACATAGATAGAAAAAGACAAGTAAATCTCGCAAACACTTCTAACGCTTACCCACCACTCCAACTTTCACAAGCACTTTAATTTGAAAAAATCAAGAGTATAAATAGGATAAATTGGTCCAGTAGCTGAAAAAAAAAATCTTTTACCCAAAAAATACATATTAAATATTTAAAATTTTGAGAATATGATTAATTCATATTGATGTACAAAAAATTTATCATTGACATATAAGTAATTTATTATTACAGTGGTATATTATTGACAAATACAATAAACCAACTATAATATAAAATATAATAAATGATGGACTATTTATTTGATTTGGTTATATAATATGGACTATAAGCAAAAGTCCCATGTAAACAGTGGAAATGTGCAATTTCTATAACTCTCTTGAATTAATACTAATTACTTCTTCCATTAAACAATGTAAGGTATTTTTTCAGAGGTTAGATGTTCAAAAATATAAAATATTTTTAATCTTTTAAGATGTAATAATTGTTTTTCTCCCAAAAGTACCCAAATTAAATAAATTCCTTTATATTTAGTTTAGAGTTAAACACCCTATTAAATAAGGATAAATATGAAAAGATAGAATTAGTTTGAAGACAAGTAATTACTTTATTGAAGGTGAGATTCAGTTAAAAATATTTTATATTTTTGAATAGAGCGAGTATATGTTTTCTATTTTTTTTATTGAGGAACGTAAACAGCATTTCCTATTTTAAAAAATTAGTTAGTTTCATTTCCTATCCAAAAAATCAGTTATTATTTTATTTTGCACAATAACGAGACCTTTAATTACCAAAATGTTTTTTTTTAAGTTAAAAGCTATTATATATGAATTATCCTTTTTAAATCAAGAAAAGTATAAATAATCAAACAGATGAAAAGAGAAGCAGATCTCACAGAGATCTTCGCCGTTTACCTTAGCAGCCGTCGAACTTTTTCTTTTTTTTTTTTTTTAATAACATGGAGACACACACACATATGGGGAGGATGACAAAGAAGTTCGAAGAAAAACAATTAATTTAATTTAAATTTCAAATTTTAAACTCAAAAGCTTTGCAAGTTTGTTTTTTAATTTTATAATTTCATTATAATAAATTTGTTATTTATTTTTTAAATTTTAAGATGATTAAAAAATAAATAAATTTATTTTAACTGTTAAAATTTAGAACATAAATTGAAAATTTATTATAACAAAATTATAAAATTAAGAATTGAATTTGAAAATTTTTAAAATTTAAAAATTGAGACTTAAATTTAATTAATTAATCCTCTTGGGATCACTCTTCATTCTCCCTATATATTAATAACTAACCAGAGAGGTACAAGCACAAAATAGGACACAAAAATTTGAACAAATTTAGACGCCAACTTATCATCATCCACCACCTTATATCAATAAGGTGGAGGATGATAAAAAGCTTAGTAAGAGTAATAATATAAAACATGAGAAAACCTGGTTAAAATATCAGTACACTCATTAGCGTCTATAAAAATAAACAATAAAAAAAAAAAAAAGAGACCAGCCTCTTTGCAGTAACCCCGAGCTTCTACAATAGTCTCCTGAAACGGTGATCATTAATGTTGTCTTTGAGTATCAAATTTAAAGCTTCTATGTAACATTAAACTTTTCACACGCAGTTTAATTTGAAAAATCTTAATCTCAAGCACGGTCGGAAATTTACTGTTGATCTACACAGTAAATCAAATCAGTTACTTTGATGTCGGTGGGTCTGCTTTTTCTTGCACTCTTCTACATGCACACTTGTGTATTCTATTGGACTTTTATTTTTTCTTGGACCACTTTGATGTAATTTTTTCTTTAAAAAAAATATTAAATGTGCTTTTGATTTTTTTTTTTGGGTATTTTTAAACAATTGGTAGAAGGTGAAAATGTGGGGCCAGAGTGAAAAAATAAGTGTGAGGCTCTTAATAAAAAAACATAGATGATAAATATGGTTTTGTAAGTTTTTATTTAAATTTCCAATATGCACAATGACAAGTAATCTTGAAATAAAACAAGTGATAATTTATATGCATAGGATAATAAATTTTACATAACAAATATGTTGACATAATCTATTTTTTTAACTGGTATACGATACTTGGTTCATTGATCACTAAAAAAATCTTTGTATATTATGCGAGAAATACAAAAAAAAATTATATTATAATCATTCATACTTTATTGCTATAGCCATTTATTTTTAATTATTTATACAATTGTAATTTACTCCATATAAATACTATTACTTTTCTCCACATTTTTGTTAAAACTTTGTAATTCCACCTGTCCATCTTTTTTAAACTAAACTCATTAAAATTATCTCTTTATTTTATTTATCTCAATTTAAATAGAAGATTGATATTCCGTGCATCGCACGGGATGAAAAATCTTGTTCAAATGTAAACATGAGCCAAAATTCAGAGTAGGATGGTCACTATCCCCTCACATGCCTCTTCACGGGGGAGGAGAAAATGAAACTTTGATAGACAAACACAGACGAAGAAGTACAAAGATGGACTATACAAGGCATGCAAGACATTTAAAGCCAAAGGTGCTAGGCAACCTAATTCTTCAATTTTTCGAGGCCTAGGCAACCTAATTCTTGAATTTTGCTAAGACCTTTGTGAAAGGCTATATTATACATAAATAAGTAAAATAATAATTTGGCCTTTGAATTATAGATTTTGGATTGTTTAGAATTCTAAATTTATTTTTGATGTATTTTTATTTTCTCAAAACCATTTGAATTTGTGACAATTTCTTTTCTGTTGACTTTAATAGTTAATTGACCAAGTATATAGAGGCATACAATACATATTCATTACATTACATACGGCCTTTTAAGTTTAGTGGGGACCTAAGGGGGGGACCAGACAAGGAGGCAGATTCTCACCTACCATTAACAAAGAGGCTAAAAGAAAAAGAGGGCAAGTTTGGTTAAAGCAAAACCGTGAATGGAAATCAAATCTGTCTCTTCCGTCCAGCCCTGAAATTCATCTGCCACTAACAACCATGATTATGATGATCATGCCTGGCCATCACAGTAAAATCTAGCAAGCAAGGTGAAACATTGTTTCTGATTGGATTGAATATTAATTGCTTCTGCTTATTCACACGAACAAGCTCTTCAATTAATGATGAGATATATATATATATATATATATATATAAAGTCAACTCCGTACCAGGCAGTATGTAATCATTTGCTTGTGCCTGTCAATGGGATGTATCACATCCTCTGTTCTCAAAAGTCAGAAGAAACAACTGTAATTCAGAATTTCATGTTGTATTGTACTGGGATAAGGTCAGATCATAATTTGTGAAGAACACTGTCATTGATCTGCCATCTCCACTTTTTTTCTTGGGCTAGTATCACAGACTCAGCCAAACATCATTAAGCTTTTACCTGTAACATTTTTTTCTACCCCAGATTTTAATATGACAAAATAAAGTGACTTCAAGTTATCCATGTGTTGTTTTCTTATTGAGATTTCAGATGATAATGACGATTAGCAAAATGCAAATATAACATTAACCTCCCCTGAATTATTGTTTGGTGAAATTGTGTGCGGGTGTGAGAGAGAGAGGGGAGTGGATTTGTCTCATTATCACTTCGCTTAAATCCTTATTTCAAGAGACTCTGTTTCATTATAACAGTGCTCACGGTGGGGAAAGCTAAAAAACACTTGTGAGGATGCTAATATGAAATACTCAATATGAAAATTTAGCAAGATATTGAAAACCAAACTAAAGTTAATGATCAACATCATAGTTGAACTGTGATTAAAATGATATAAACCGACTATTTTATTAAATTGATTAAGATACTGATTTGACAAATGAATAGTTAAACTGAGCAAATTGACCTAGATTTTCATGCTATAAAATTTAGACACTGTAATATTACAAAAACGTTAAGAGTACAGGAATTGAAGAAATAAGGGGATTCGAGCTTCAAACCAGCTTGCTTCACTGTATAAAACTAAAGAAATTGACAACTTGGGTCATTGCTGTAGTCATAAATGCACTATCTACAAAACTCGGATTTGAATATGATACATTGTATCGTGCAAGGCTGCGAGCAGCTTCAGTGGAGAATATCTTTGCTTTGCCAGTGGTTTGATGTCAGTCTCTCATCATTGCAAAGATGAAGATCCGAAACTCTATTCCAACTCCTTGACAAAATCAACATTATCTACAAAAACCTGTGCGACAGAAAAGGAGTACAAGAAGTTAGATAAAATGATTGGTTATCTGAACAAATATATTAAAAAATATACTAAATCTCTACCATACATTAGAAAGTACCAAATGAGAGTTAAACAGAAGATGGAAACTCGGGCAGATATACATTGCCCAACATATCCATGTGACAATAATAGACTTTCACCAGGTTAAAAGTATGAAGCTCAATAATGCCCTTTGGATTTTGAAGAAAAATGGGGAAAATCAAGATGGAAGGAAAGAAAAAAAAAATATTTAAGAGCAGAAAACTTAGGTATTGTTGCTTCACACATCTATAAAGGCACAAATATGATAAATTGAAGAAGAAATATTGTGACTTGTAAGACTAACAGCTCTCCTTTTTTTTTTTTTAATACAACTACCCATCATTCATGGGCTCAGCGCAAAACCACATTAGTGGCAAAGCTCTCCCAATGAGTATTTAACATAGCTGAATACCCAAGACTCAAACTCAAGATCACTAGTTAAGCTAGCACAACTCTTTACTAGTTGAGCTACGTGCTTGTTGATAACTAACAGCTCTCCTAAAATCAAGGAAATACAGACCTTCATGTAAGATGTAATCAGGTATGATCCTGAACATGAAAAGCATGTAAAGACGAAAAAAAGAAAGGAGGGCGAAAAAAGAGTTAAGCTGAACACATGGAACCTTCGGTTAATCAGAATTTAGCATCAACCAAGGTGTAAAGACAATTTACAAATAATAAGCTGTTTAGGGGGGGGGGGAATAATAATAATAATCCTTCCTCCTTGAAGCAAGTTTTGGCCACCATTCCAAATTTTCAAGTCCTTCAAACATAATTTTCTGCATAGGCTTGGTAAAAACATAGGCCAATCGGTCTTCAGAATTGCAATGAAAGATCTGTACCTCATTTTCTTTCACTGCCTCCCTTGTGAAGTGATACCTGATCTTGATATGCTTTGCCTAATCATGGAACACTGGCTTCCTCATCACAGCAACAGTTGACTTATTGTCACACTGGATCTTGTTAGCCTCGTGTTGATACATCCTAAGATCATTTAAAATATTTCGAAGCCATTGAATTTGATTAGTAAAGTCGGGAATAAGGGCCAAGCTTGACGGGCCGCCCATTTAAGCCCGTTTTAATAAGGGTTCGGGCTTACAAATTTGGTATTTTTTGGGGTAACCGAGCTTCAAAGCCCGGCCCTTTTAAGCCCTAGAAAAACGGCCTCGGGCCCTGGCAGCTCGTGAAACCTGTTTTACTTTTTTTCCCCTTAGTTAACTTAAAATGCACTGTATGAAGCATAGACCGAGAAAATTTATAGCATTTAGCATTGGCTCTCGTGTTCTCACAAAGTATCATTTTCACCTCTTTCCAGATAATGTGCAAACATTGATTTGTACCTGCAATTGGTTGATTTGTTTTGTGCCATTTTATGGTAATTTTTATATTTTATCTTGTCATATATGTATAGATATATATTTGATAATAACACAATTTAATTAATAATTATTGTAGGTGATGATGAAGAAGCTGCAGAAATAATTGATATTGAGTCTCCGCCTACATCTTCCACAAGTGGACCTACATCTAAGGGTTCTAATATTTTATTTATGGATGATGATGAGGGAGATCTTGATTAGGATTGATGATGATGTTTGCCTTCATCTTATTTGGACTTTTAAATTTTTTGTTCATTTTTTAAATTATGTAAGACTTTGGTTTGGTGTATGTAAAATTTTAAAATATTCTAAATAAATTTTAATGTTGAATTTTATTTTATTCTTATCCAGGCTTACGGGCTCGGCCCTGAGCCCTTTAAATAAGGGCCGGGCTTCAATTTTAAAGTAAAATTGGGGTAACCGGACTTTAGGGCCTAAGCCCATAAAGGCCGGGCCCATAGGACCAAGCCCATATGGGCTAGGCCCGCCCGTTTACCAACTCTACTGATTAGCAGTGACTGAAAGAAGCACTGTCTTCTGCCCAGCTGTTGACTGTAGAAGACTGAGCCTTGCTTCTTGCAGCACAAACACAAAATACTAGATCCAAGTGTACAGAGCCTGAAGTACTTTTCACATCATTTTGTGATCTAGTCCAATCTCTATTAATAAATCCAGCTAAACTCATGCAATTAGCCCTTCTGTCAAACCAGCCATAATCAATTGAACTTTGACTATACCTCACTCTTCCGCCAGCAGAGGTGCAATTCAGTAGGAGATTGCATGAACCTAGACAACACAACAGTATCATACATGATATCTGATGTAGTGGCAAATATGTACAAGAGAGAAGCTGCTATAGAGAGTGGCATTAACAGGTTTGGAATGACCACCTGTGCTTAGCCTTCTGCTGGCACAATTGGTGCACTTGATGTTTCAATCTTTATAAGAATGAATGTCTTCGGAAGGTCCAAGGCAAACTTCCCTTTTGAGATATGAAAATTGCTTGAGGATCGACTAACTTACATCCTAAGCAAATAAGATATTCCTCCCACGTCATTCAGTTCATAAGCCTCCTTCACTCACTCTAAATCTGTTCATGTTTAAAAATTGCCGCTAGTCTCACATAAGTAAATCACGCATGCCTTTGCAATCTCACATCTAGTTGCCTCATTAGGGTGGGGGGGGGGAAGCAAAGAAAGAAAGAAAAAGAACTATCAATTTTCATGTACTGGGCCCTTGGAGACTGGTCTTCAACAGATAAACCTTGTTGCACAGACAACCTCATGGAATCCATTGAAAAAGGCCAGTTTCACGCCCAATTGAAACTATTTCCATTCTAGGTGAGCTACACTAGAGATGCACTATAACGGCTTCAAACTTGGAACTGGTGCAGAGGTTTCAGCAAAATCAATCACCCGTCATTCAGCAAACCCCTTCACAACTAGCCTCACTTTTAATATATTTATAGTACCATCAGAGCTTATCTTGAGTTTGAAGACCCATCTAGTGGCCCATGACTTTTTATTGACAAGTCTTGGCACAACCAAGTACTATTCTTGTGTATCATATTAAACACGTCCTACAAAGCATCCTCTGTCTCGGAAATCTTAGAGCTTCTTCAACATGTATAGTCTCATGCAAGGCTGCATTTATTAATATCTTCTCGGGTCCATGTGCCTCTAAAAGCCAAATCATCATGAGAATCTTCTTCCAAGGGCAGAAACATGGCAGATCACTAGACGAAGAAAACCAGACGACAAATGTTTAGGAAGTTACATTAGGAAACTGCTTTTTTATCCTATGTTCAAGTATATTCCTAGGCAGTTACTGTTAATTATTTCTATTCATAGTTATTGTGGGACGTGTATATATGGTTGTATTCTGGTTTGATGGATTATGAATGAAGTATTACTCTGACTCAAGGAGATTCTCCAGACTTTAAGAGTTCAGATTCTGACTCTAGAGTCATACCCTCACCTATAATTTCTTCTTCAAAACTCTCCTACTTCTAGCATATAGTGGGTTCTGGATTTATGTCTTCTTCAGTTGTTTCATGAGCAGGGATGCCAACACCCATTATCTCCCAATCCCAAAATCCATTGTCATCAAATTTAATACTTCCACTTACATACACTTGCTGTGAAATGGGATTTAGAATTCTATAGCCTTCGGAAACATGGCTATATCCCACAAAATGTAACTAGGCTCAATTGGAAGAAATTTTTCATTATATTTTGTACAATGTCTATTATTGGTGCGAAGGCCAGGAAACACAAAATACCATCCTGATTTTCTCCAAAACTGATTAGAAATCATGCGTAGTAATCGTAAAATGCATCAAGAACATCCTAATGATTACAAATCAGTGTTCATTACAAAATGGTGCATCCACTACTGGATGACGTGTGGTCATACTCCTCCTTTGCTGACTAAGCATCCTATTCATATCCTAATTAACACAAAATATCAAAACAGAGAGAGTAACATGACAAAACGACATACGGAACAGTTACATAACTACAAGAACATAAAATAAAAGCCTGTAAACAACTATTCTCATGCATCAATCAGTTATCTCCTAGTTTCTACTTTTCATTTCATTTTTCGTTCTATCCTTTTTCATTGTGTATCATAAACCTTAGGCATAGTTGAGATTAAATATGCAGCAAAGTAACTGTGCAGATTGGCTACTATTGACACATGTTTTAGTATCAACATTGTTCCTAGAAAATAAGCTCAGTCAATATTTTTCCCCTTACTTCTTACTTTAGATTAGCTGTGCACCAAGCATCAAGCAGAAGTCAAGATGCAATTTTTTTTTTTATGAAAAGGATATATATATTTATTTATTATCACTATATAACATTGATTACACAACAACTTTTGCTCATACAAAAGAAGTGTCATAATCACCAAAGAAACACAATTAATTCATTTAATAAGAATTAAAGAAAATATAAAAGGGAGAGTTTGGTATCCTAATGATTTCACCTATCTCAAATTATTACTACCGTGAGTACCAAGATTTCATAATATTTCAGGAGAAAAAGAAACCATAAAATCTAAAAAGCTATACCGTCTTCCAACCATCAGGATCTAAGCATGCTGTTATTTTTGTGTTGATGCCAGGTAATGGTCCAGGTTCCCGAGTAATCTGTCCTCCAACAAGTTTAATAGCTTCAGCAGTCCTGTATACATCATCTGTACCCACTGCAATCTGCAAAGGGAGAATAAAAGAACAAAAATTAATACAAAAAAGCAATCTTCAAATGAATGGCAAGAAAGAACCAATAGGTTAAATATTTGAAGAAAATCTGATAACAAAGCCCTAGATATTTGTTAATACTCCATAAAGAAAATGAAATCTAATACCTTAATAGAGTATAAGCATGATAGAAAAAATCATTAAAATAAACTTTAGCAGAACAAAAGAGTTAAAGAATTAAATAGAGGAAGTTCTTCCAACCTGAGCATAACCATTTCCTTTACCATATCCAGTCACTCCATAGTTGTAAGTCAATTCCAAAACAGCACTTTTATCTTCAGGACCATAACCAAGCATTGCAATGGTATACTGCCAAAGGAAAAGAAAATCATTGATTGATCAAAAACAATTTAAAGGCCAAATGATTGAAAGTATTGGATAAGGAGATGGGAAAAAAGTTATGATCCATCAAAGAAAGCAAGATGGAATCTAAGCATGGTAGTTCAATTCAGGACTTGAGAGCATGGTACATAATACAAATATCTCATATAAAACATAACACATAACAAAATAGAAGGCAAGCTGTTAGAAGTTAGAGCAGAAGATTTGCACAAGATTATGAACAAAGAACTGAAAAAAGGCCAATAAGATATGGTTTCATAATCAACGTTTGGGAAATCATAAAATCCTCAAAACAAGGAACTTATACTGCTAGTTGTTCAGCAGCTGGTATTTCCTAGTCGCTGGTGAAGTCAAAGGAGTTTTCTTTTATTGATAAAGCCATCAGGAGCACCAGCAATGAACAAGACATTGATGGCTGATAAAAGAAGCCATCTTCCCCAATTAACACCTGCTGGCCTAACAATTTTATTACTTATAAGTTGAAATTCAAATATGATAAAACAGGAATAAATACCATCCTTCCGTTCTATTTCTGGTCATATTTTGATTCAGTAAACTCACTGAAACAGTAGGCTAGAAGGCAAAGTAACATTTTATGAGAATCAGGTACAAAACAATTTATTGAAGAATAATAACAAACATGCCTAAATGAATAGTAAATACAACTAAAGAACAACACTACTTTTAGAAGTTCGACCTCATCATTTCAAAGGATTGATATGATTAATTTTATTTCAACAATGACCTATCCCCTGTCCTCAAACTTTTTTTTTTTTAATGTGCAGATGAAACAGTATCTTATAGTTTCGGCATTAAAGCCCCATGATCTGATATAGACTCTAATAATCTTACCTCTTGAATATTAGGCATTCCAACTATAGGTCACGCAATTAATTGATATGATAGAAATAATGCAATGATACCTTTTGCTCAGGATTATCTCGTGTATGAAGAAGTTCCATACCAAAAGCCTAAACGGTAAGCAACCATGTAAATGATTAAATCTCTAGTGTAAAAAAAATAATAAGGTGTTAAATCAGAAATAACATTCATCTCACCTTCTCGTAAAATTCTATGGAACGATTAAGATCACCTACTCGAAGCATTACTTGGCACAAAGGCTCAGGAGAGGGACCTCTTTGCAAAAGCTCAAATTTATAACCATCTGGATCTTCAATGAAAGCAATTATTGTGCTGCCTCCCTTAACAGGACCAGGCTCTCTAGTTATTTTGCCACCCTTAGCTCTAATGAGTTCTACTGTCTTTTCAACCTGCTAGAAGATAGTGATAATAAAAATTATGCTACAAAACCTCACCAAATCTCAAAGTGGAGTGGTGGACAAAATAGAAAGGTGCAGCTATGGACTAGTGCATGCACGAGGGTATAAAAAACAATCAGAACATAACGCATTATAAGAAGCCAAAGATGCTCATAAAAAATAGAGCGGACAAATAAAGCCAACTCACATCATCAACAGCAATGCCGAAATGGCCAAATCCATTTCCAATATCATATGCATCAACCCCATAATCTGAAACATAAGTAAATGGCAATCATAAGGGAAAACTTCGTAGCTACCAATTACTCGGTGGTTCAGAAGTCGCAGTTTTTCAGGTCTTAAAATATTCTGCCAGACACTTACTGTATGTCAGTTCAATAACAAAGTGTGCATCTTCAGGTCCATATCCAAGAAAGGCATTAGTGTATCTCTCCTCTGGTATATCACGTTTTCTAAGTAGCTTCATTCCCAGGCACTCTGTATAAAATCTGAAATTGCCAGGCAGTTTTTTCCTTCAATAAGTACTCTACAGAGTTGATTCAAAAGAATATTACATCAGTAATGAGTAGTATGTGTGTATGTATTATGAATTTATGGTATACTTGATGGTCCTGTCTAAATCCCCAACACAATATACAACATGAAGCATTCTTCGCTTGTCCTGCTTGACCCACTCTAGAACGTCTTCTGTTGTTGAAGCTCTGCTTCCTTGGGACACACTCCCTGATGCCATTACCCTCGCACAGTTACCATCTAGTCTCAATGGCTTGGATGCCTTCAGGGTAGATCTATTGGACTGTGAAACAACTGGATGACAACCCAGAATAATTTCAATTCATGCAATTATACAGCAATGTCCAATCAAATTCAGTATTACAGATGCAGTGCAAAACATATCACGTAAGTTGCAGGCAGGACAAAGAAAATTTAAATTAAGAAAAAAAAAGGCATCAGCAATAAAAATGAATTTGAATATAGCAATCGGACAATCCAACTCCCCTTAATCAGGTAAATTTTTTCTTTCTATATTTTTTTAATACATAGATATGGATTGAACTAATGAAGTTTAACATCTGCCCACATCCCACCCCATCCTTACCACCTAAGGAGGCTTTAATCATGGAACTTCTATTCTGTCATATCAACAAAAATTAGTCAAAGGAAAGAAATGAAAGTCGACTTCTATCAGAATTGGCCCAATTGATCTAATTATGGTTGAAGTATGGAGACTCATCGACAAGTTTATTGACTATACGAAAACCAAGCATCCAATTGCAATGTGACTCAAGATTCCATTGAAAGCCAAGAAAGTTAGCCTGAAATGAGTGGATTCTCAAAAATGGCCACCAGAGGAACATAACTTACCGCGAACCTGACGATGAAAGGAGAGGCGCCGAGTAGGGTTGTAACCCGATGGATTGAAGGCGGACAGAGAGGGATGAATCGAAGACGCCATGGGAATCACTCTCACCAGAGCGCAGAGTGAGGTCAACACTCGATAAGCTTACGTTGATTTTGAAGTTTCCTTTTTTCGGGGATAGGATCATATTCCGGTAAGAAAAAAAAATTACACATCACGAAGGTGATGCGATCTAACCTGAGTCCTGTGTTAAATGCACATGTCGCTGTTTCAAAGTCGTCTCGCTCAGCCCAAATCAAAAGTTGTGCGTGGCAACACACACATGTAGTGAATTTTAACATGTATAAAACTTGATTGAAGATGTGCGCGCGAATGAATTTTAAATTATTTTAATTTAATATGTATAAAACTTGTGTCACATATCCATCCGTACAAAAATCGTAAAATTCATCTCACTGGGCAATTGTTGGTGGAATCCCATTCATAAGATAATTTTATTATAAGGTCTATTTTGATGTCTCATTGGTCAAATTTTTTTTTTACCATAAGGTCTGGTTTGAATAAAATGTCTCCCCTTCCCTCTCTCCCCATTATTTTTGAAGCCTCTTGATTGATCAATTTTTAGTTTTATATTTTATTTTTTCAATCAATTTTAAATTTTAAATTTTATTTTTCTTTCATTGCATATGTGAACACTGTATTTTATCTGGATATTTTTTTTAATTTAATAAAATTAATAATAAATAATTTAAAAAATATATAAAAATACAAAAATGAAATTTAATCTTTTTAGGATTTTATTTTCAAAAAAATAATAATTAATAGGATTTAATTTTGTTTTAACCTAGATAATCTTTTATTAATTATTTTTTTATTTCATTAAAAAATAACCAAAAAAATATAAAAGTATAAAAATAAAATTTAATCCTCTTTTAGGATTATATTTTAAAAAAATATAATAATTTAACAAAGTAAGAAAAAAGTTAAATCTTAAAGAATTTCTCCTAAATTATCTCGATCATTCAAAAAATATTAAGAGTTAACTTTTGAGAGTTAACTTTTCTTTCTTTAAATTTTATTTTTTATTTTAAATATGTGTGTGCATGTGCGTGCACGCGCGTGTGTGAATCTAATTTTTTAAAAAAAATTAGAAGCAAAAAAATAATAATAAATAATATAGGCTAGATTTCATCACTACGAAAACACAAGCAGAAATGCAAAAAGCAAGACAGAGTAGAAGGAGTATAAACAAAACACACAACACAGCAACATGCACACATGAAACACACACAAAGAAGACCCTAAAAGCAAGCTGTGACCACAATGCATGTTCCAGAAGAAAAGAAAAGAAACAGCAAAAACACACAGCAGCAAAACACACGAAACACATGCAGAAAGAGAGCAATCAAAACGTGTATACACACACTTTCGGCCAGTAGAATAAGCGGAAGCAGAGACGCGTGCATGCACATAGTAGAGCAAAGCGAGAAAGGTGAAACACGTAAGCTCTCTCCTCACACGCAAGCTCTTCCTTGTTTCTGCTTTAAAAGGAACGAAGCACGGATAATGAAAAAAAACCAGAGGAAGAAGAGAAAAAATTGGAGCACAGAGAGATGAGAAACACAGCAAGAAAAAAAAAAATAGAGCATTGAGATAGACGAGAAAAGAAGAAACACTGATGGAGAGAGCACCGAGGAGGGAAGCCTAAACGGATCCGAGAGGGAGAGAAAAAACAGAGCATCAAGAAAGAGGGAGATAACTGAGAAAAGCGAGGAGAACCTGAGAGAGGGAAGCCTGAATAGAGATTAAGAGTGAGGGAGAGACTGATAGAGGGAAGTCTAGATGAAAAACAGACGCAGCACGAAGGAGGGACTGAGAGAAGAGGAACACTGAAAGCAAAAACAGAGCACAACGAAGCAAAAAACAAAGCACAAATAAGAGACGCAAGAAAGAGAAATAGTAAAGGAAAAAAAAAGGGAGATCAATAAAGCAGTTGACCCAATTGATGACACTAAGTACAATCATGTACTTGAGACTTTTTTGCTAAGAAGCTGGTGAAAGAACGCCCTTCTCCGTCTTACCTTATGGCTGCTTCTAATGGAGCTTTTATTCACACTGATACACCAACTCCTACGTCAACTATGCTTCCTCCATGGCTTTCAAACTTAAATAACTCTACAACCATTCGGCCACCTTCCCCTTCTGTAACGCTAAGTCTCTCTTCCTCAACTGTAGCTGCACCTCCTCCTTTTCAATGGTTACAACCTGAGAGAGCGCCAGAGAATGCTTCTCTTGTTATAGGGAATGTAACACCTCACGGATCTAATCTAACTTTTGGTGATAACAAGCTAGTACCTGAGCTAATCGAGTGCTTTAAAGAGGTGAAAGAAGAATGCATATCTGAAATCACAGGCTGCTTAAATAATATTTAAATCATGTCATCTCTTTTAATCTGAATTCATTGATGAACATATATATATATATATATATAGATATTAGAGTGTAGACTAATTCGGATGTATGTTTAGACATTTAAAAAATTTAGGAATTAAATATTTTTTTATGTAACAAACATAAAAAACTAATATTTTTAAGGAATTTTGTAGAACAAGTATCAAACGTGGACATACAGTCTACGAGGGTAAAATAACCAAACGCGGCTTATGCCATGAAAACAAACATAGACATACCAGTCCATAAGGGTAAGTAGCCAAATACAGTCAAAATCATGAAACAAACATGAATACATAATTCTCGAGGGTAAGTAACCAAACGCGGTCGAAACCACGAAACAAATGTGGACACACAATCCATGAGCGTAAGTAACCAAATGCAGCTCAAGGCCACGAAACAAACGCAAGTACGAGGCTCGCGAATGACAAACGTGAGAACAGAGCTTGCGAAAACCAAATTAGCTAATCATTAACCAAGGCGCACCAAGGGCTAACGGAACTGCCGTTAGCAACAGTGTTCTGCTTAAAGTCCTTGTGAAATCACTTTTCAAACATGCGAGAATAATCTTTTTTTTGAAATACAATTTACATTCTCAATATCAAACTCGCATAAATTATTTTAAATCTCAAAGTTTGCCAAAACATTATTTCATAGCAAATGTATAAGCTTGTACTAGTTGAGTAATCAAGAATTTCTAGAGTAAAATAAAATAAATAAAGATGCTTCCATCGATCTTGAAAATATATTTCGTGAAGAAAATACATGCATATACCATAATTTAATTAACTTTCACCATCATTCTAAAATTTTCTGAACTAAAATGATTTAATTAACAAGGTATATAATAATCATCGTAGTTGTTAAAATAATTTATATGAAAATGTAATATTTTTAAAAACAGACTACTTTTATTGAAAAATATGGGGTGCTATTCACTTACCTGCTAAATTCTAAATCCAATGATTTCCTTCCTCAATTCTTATTAAGGGACTCATCTTCCACATACCCTATATGAATAAATGAAACCTCAATTTGCCTCTTATAGGTATATAAACTTTATTTCACTAGCAACACAATCCTAACCAATTGGAACTACTTAAAATTCCAAAAATCAAAATTCATATTTTAATGATTTCCCAAACATAATCACTTTTGCTAACCTGCCTCATATTACTCTAATCATAACTACTATTTAAATGAAATATGAATTTCTTATACCTTGTGTGGAAAATTTCCAAACACCCATAACTAAATTTATCATGCTTCTTTCACCCATTTCTCAAATACCTTAAATGTATTCTCAAAATTAAATGATAACACACCACTATAATTATAAATTTATAATTAAATTCTTTTGCAATCTATAAGTTAATTCGTAGATCCATAATTTCCATGTTCGCATACTTCTCACAAAGACCAATTAAATTTCAAAAATGCAAAATCAAGCCAACTCTCTTACTAGGCATTTTATCAGACACTATATGGGCATAAACTATCAAGCTAATATTTGCATTTTCCTCCTTAATTTCAGCATCCCTGAAATCTTACAACACCATTAATTCAATCATTTTCAATTACAAGCTCAGTTCCATGTCATCAGCTCCTTCCCTATGCAACCACAAATCTCCATTTAAAATCAAACTTCCTCTCCCTATACATCCATGTATTTTTTTTGAGCAGCAACAATAACACACATGCTAAAAAAATTCCATAACTTCAACCATTAGAATACCCACTCACGAGATTTGCAAAATGAAGGGTACAAAACTTTGGGCATGAATCAGTAACAATGAAGAAGAGTTAGAGAAGAAAGCTAATTGAAAATAAGGAAGAAGAACTCATGCACTAGCACAGCATCCACAGTGACGCACGAATAAAGAAGTTGCAAGATTGAAATTTTTTTTTCAACCATCCTCAACCTCCAGCAACAGCGACAGCAAAGTAGAAGCTTAGTATTTCACATTAGACACGATCTGGAGCAGAGGAGAACAGAGGGATCTTGGCAAATGCATAACAGCAATGAACAAATTCCAGCACCTATTAATATCAGACTTATGAAGCTGCAACAGTCACTCTTGCCGGCACCAACGATGATGAAAATGGAAGAGAAGATAGCTGAGGTACAGAAAAGGAAGAAGAAAAAAAAACTCACGTGCTGACAAAATAATGGTGGACGAAGCTGTGGCGGACACTATGAACAGAGAGGAAGAGGCGAAGGTGTAGAGGAGGAATGATGGATTGTTCAGATATGAGCTTTTCTCTCCCCTCCTCTCTCTGTGTGTCTCGAGCTTTCTGGAGAAAATGAACGAAAAGGAAGTAGATTTTCTTTTTAATAATTAGATGAGGAGGAGGGCAATTTTGTAATTTTAGAAAGAGAAAAAAATGAAACTATCCTTGGTCTCAGCCAAATTCGAACGTAGAACCCATTAGAAGAGTACTTGCACGGCTACCACTAGATCAGCTTCTCCTCTTGTCATATTTGTTTAAAAATTAATATATCTATAATTAAAGTGCCAACTTATTATATATATTTTTTATAGTTCTTGGGCTTTTACATTCTTCCCCCTTTAAGAAATTTGGTCCTCCGAATTTAAATTTATGCTTACCTCAATCCTCAAATAGTTGTGGATACATAACACGTATATCACTTTCAACTTCGCATATAACTTCTTCTTGAGAATGGTTATGCCACAACACTTTCACCTGAGAAATTTATTTCAACTGCACTTGTCGATCCAAAAAGACAGTAGGAACTTCTTCATATGATAAATATGGGTCTATCTGAATTCCTTAATTTTTTTTTCACATGAGATGGGTCATATGAATATTTACGTATAATTAATA